TATTCCGTGTTTAATTCATTTCATTTATTCCTTTATTTTTGATTTATTCCCGTATTTTATTTATTTTTCCTTTATTTTTATTTTTTAGCTCTTCTGTTCATTTTAACGTATTACTTTAGATGAGGCTTTTTTGTCAATTTTATTTCTTGTTTTCAATTTTTCATTTCTTCTTTTATTTTATATTACTTTTGATTATTTATACTATTAATTTTATATTATTTTGTGCCATTTTATTCCACTTTTATTCCATTTTTAATTCATTTCAATTCCATTCATTTCTTTTTAATTTATTTGTTTTATTTATTTTTATTTATATTTAGCTCTTCTATTCATTTTTTATTACATTATTTTTTAGGTTATATTATGTCAAATTTTTTTCATTTTTTCATTTCTTCTGTTCATTTTTGTATTACTTATTTTAATTATTTTTATATTTGTTTTATGTTATTTCTGTTCAATTTTTTTTTCATTTTTTATTTCGCGTATTTCATTTTTTTTATGTTTATTTCATTTTTATTTCTTCCCTTTGTTTTTTAACCATATTCATTTTTCATATTGCTCATTTCTTACCTTATGTCCTGTTCCCTACACTTCCATTTTCCATCCTTCCCCTCTCCCACCCCCCTCCCTTTCCTCTCATCCCATTCCATTCCATTCCCCTTCTGATCCCATCCTGCTCCGTTCTCATGCTGTTCCCATTCCCTTCCTATTCCATTCCCATTCCAATCCCATTCTGATCCCCTTCTGTTCCTGTTCTGTTCTCATTCCCTTCCCATTCCAATCCCATTCTGATCCCCTTCTGTTCCTGTTCTGTTCTCATTCCATTCCCATTCCCTTCCCATTCCATTCCCATTCCAATCCCGTTCTGATCCCCTTCTGTTCTGTTCTCACTCCGTTCCTGTTCCGTTCCCATTCCGATCCCATTCTGTTCCCATTCCACTCTTCTTCCATTCCTGTTCCATTCCATTCCCGTTCTGATCCCATTCTATTCCCATTCCAATCCTCTCCCACTCTGTTCCCATTTCATTCCCATCCTGATCCTGTTCCATTCTCTTTGATCCCACTCCAATCCTATTCCATTCCTGTTCTGATCCCCTTTTCTTCCCATTCTGTTCTCATTCCATTCCCATTCCAATCCCATTCTGTCCCCATTTTGATCCCATTCTGTTCCCATTCCAATCCCGTTCTGTCCCCATTTTGATCCCATTCTGTTCCCATTCCATTCTGTTTGATCCTGTTCTGCTCCCGTCCCGATCCTGCTCCATTCCCCACCCCGATCCCATTCTGTTCTGTCCTGTCCCAATCCTGTTCCATTCCCTATCTCAATCCCATTCTATTCCCCATCCCAATCCTGATCTTTTCTATCCCACCCCAATCCCACTCCATTCCCCATGCTGATCCTCTTCTGTTCTTTTCTATCCTGTTCCATTCCCATCCCAATCCCGCTCCGTTCCCCATCCTGATGCCATTCTGTTCTGTTCTATCCTGTCCCAATCCCGTTCCATTTCCCATCCCAATCCTGTTCTGTTCTGTTCCATCCCATCCCAATCCCATCCATTCCCGTCCCAATCCCGCTCCATTCCCCATCCTGATGCCATTCATGTCTGTTCAATCCCATTCCATTCCCACTTATATCTCACTCAATTCACCATCCCAATCCTGTTCTGTTCTATCCTGTCCCAATCCCATTCCATTCCCATTCATATCCCACTCCATTCCCCATCCCAATCCTGCTCCATTCTGTTCTATCCTGTTCCATTCCCATCCCAATCCTGCTCCATTCTCCATCCCAATTCCATTCTGTTCTGTTCTATCCTGTCCCAATCCTGTTCCATTTCCCATCTCAATCCTGTTCTGTTCTGTTCCATCCCACCCCAATCCTTTCCCAATCCCATTCCATTCCATTCCATTCCCTATCCCACTCGATTCTACATCCCAATTCCATTCTGTTCTGTTCCATCCCATCCCAATCCCTCTCCATTCCCATCCCAATCCCTCTCCATTCCCCATCCCAATCCCATTCTGTTCTGTTCTATCCTGTCCCAATCCCGTTCCATTTCCCATCCCAATCCTGTTCTGTTCTGTTCCATCCCACCCCAATCCTTTCCCAATCCCATTCCATTCCATTCCATTCCATTCCCTATCCCACTCGATTCTACATCCCAATCCCATTCCATTCTGTTCCGTCCCATCCCAATCCCTCTCCATTCCCCATCCCAATCCCATTCCATTCTGTTCCATCCCATCCCAATCCCTCTCCATTCCCCATCCCAATCCCTCTCCATTCCCCATCCCAATCCCATTTCATTCTGTTCTATCCCATCCCAATTCCTCTCCATTCCCCATCCCAATCCTGTTCCATTCTGTTCAATCCAATCCAAATCCCGTTCCGTTCCCATCCCAAACCCGCTCCAATCCCATTCCATTCCCATCCCACCCCTCCACCCCTCATGGCTTTGTTTGTTTCCCAGTGACACGGCACATTAGAGAGCTCCTGGAAAGGAACACAAAGAAGAAACCCAAATTGAGAAAGAAACCCAAGCCCCACCCCGAGGAGCACGATGGTAGGGGCAGCGCCACCGCTCGCTTCGGGCCCTCCCGGCCCCGTAGAATCGCTGCTGCTTCCCGGCTCTCTCCTGCTCCCATCTCCCAGGGCTCTGCTCGGAGGGCTGCGGCTAATTAACCGGCTCTCTTAATTGGGGTCGGAGGTGGTGGGCAGCGGGCGCTGTCTGCTGATGGCTGAATGGCATTCGTGTTTAATTAGTGCTCAGCGGTGGCAGTCGGACACGATAAGGAGAAGTGGTCTTGAGTGACAGTCAGCCTAGGTAATTATCTGTGGTCTTCACTGATGGTTGATCAACTGATGATCTTAATTGCTGGTTGGATTTCATCACCAGTGGGCGATCTCCATTAATCACTGATCAGCTGATGGTTTTAATTGACAGTTGGACTTGATGATCGATCGGTGGTCTTCATTGGTGGTTGATCATCAGGGATCTTCACTGAAGATCAATTAGTGATCTTCCTCGATGCTTGCACTTGATTGAGGATCTTAATTGACGTTTGATGCATTGGTGATCTTTACTGATAGTTGGGCTTGATCAATTAGTGGTCTTCATTGACGGTTGGATTTGAAGATCAATTAGTGATCTTTGCTGATGGTTGGACTTGATGACCAGCTGGTGATCTTCACTGACAGTTGATCAACAGATTGTCTTAATTAATGGTTGGAATTGATGGCCAATTGATGGCCAGTTGGACTAATAATGAGTAGGTGATGATCTTCACTGATCATTGATCAGCTGATTATCTTTTAATTGACGGTTGGACTTCATGAACAGTTGGCAATCTCCATTAATCACTGATCAACTGATGATCTTAATTGATGGTTGGACTTGATGACCAATTGATGATCGTGATTGATGCTTAATTAATCAATGATCTTCATAATGGTTTCACTTGATGATCCATTAGTTCATGGACTAACATGGACAGTTGGACTTGATGATTAATTGATGATTTTCATTGACTGTTGATCTTAATTGATGGTTGGACTTGATGACCTATTGATGATCTTCATCAATGGTTGATCCATTGATGATCTTAATTGGTGATCAGTTGGACTTGAAGATCAATTAGTGCTCTTCACTGACAGTTGGACTTGATAATGAATAGATCTTCACTGATAGTTGGACTTGCTGATCGATTGGTAATTTTCATTGGCAGTTGATCAACTGGTGATCTAAATAGAAGGCTGGACTTGATCGACTGATTACCTTAATTGAGACTGATGATCTTAAGGATCATTTCCATGCTTAATGATTCTGTGATCCTAACGTGGTGAATGCAGAGGGGACGGAGCCGTGGCCCTCAGTGCAGAGCCCCCACTTTGCTTCCTGCTTTGCACTAATATAGAATAAAACCTTTAAAATATCATTAAAAATCATTTAAAAAATACTTTTAAAAATCAGCTAATAAATAACCCATACAGTAATAAATGACATCTGCAACAATAAATGGTCTCTCAAATAATAAAAGGTGCACACAGTAATAAACGACCCATAAAATAACACGTGATCTCTGAAATAAGAAATGCTCCAAAGGATTATAAATGACATATGAAATAATAAACGGTATGTAAAATAAATAAAATGAAATAACAGCTAAACATTAAAAACTTGAAAGAAATGAATGGGTTTTGCCCAGAGGAGGCAGCACAGCGCTTCCCCCCATCCTCATCTGTGCCGATCCTCAGTTCAGTCCCCAGGCCTGAGAGCTGGGGACACTGCAGAGCATCCATCCGTATTCGGTCCCTCGTTAATAACTCGTTAATTAGTGCCCACTGAGGCATCGGGTCGGGCGCTGGCGTACCCAGAGTTGGTTGCCATCTTTCCTTCTTCCCTGCCCCCCTTCCCGGCACATCCTTTGGAAGGATCCCATTTATTTTCCTCCTGGATCAGGGAAAGACTGGGGCCCTGAGTGTGCGTCCCCATGCACTGCCAGGACTCTTCCAATCGATGGGGATCGCGGGTGGGGATGGAAACAGATGGATCCAGATTTTCAGAGCTGTATGGAAACTGAAAGTTCTGTCCCGGATGCGGAGCACAGGGGATGTCCCCAAAGTGGGGCCATCCCTTCCCATTGCTCCACGTCTGCATCGCTGGGAATTGAAGGGAGGGTGCAGAGGTGGCACCTGCATAGAGCCACCACTGCTGGTGACACCCAGGATGGGCAGGGGGTGTCCCCCACGGAGGGGTCCTCTCACCCCGCAGCCCCACAGCGCCCTCCTGACCGCGCTCCGCTCTGTCTTCCAGGGGTGGCCATCAGCACATATGCCAAGTACTGCTACAACAAGCTGCAGAAGGCAGCCCTCACTGGAGCCAAGAAGGTATGCGTGGCCACCTGCGTCCCACCGTGCCCTCCTCATCTGTCCCTTCTGTGTCCCACCACGCTCACATCCTCCACATCCATCCCTTCTGTGTCCCACCATGTTCACATCCTCCACATCCATCCCTTCTGTGTCCCACCACGCTCACGTCCTCCACGTCCATCCCTTCTCTGTCCCACTATGCTGACATCATCCACGTCCATCCCTTCTCTGTCCCACTATGCTCACGTCCCTCACATCTATCCCTTCTCTGTCCCACCATGCTGACATCATCCACGTCCATCCCTTCTGTGTCCCACCATGTTCACATCCTCCACATCCATCCCTTCTGTGTCCCACCACGCTCACATCCTCCACATCCATCCCTTCTGTGTCCCACCACGCTCACGTCCTCCACATCCATCCCTTCTGTGTCCCACCGTGCTCATGTCCTCCTCATCTGTCCCTTCTGTGTCCCACCACGCTGACATCCTCCACATCCATCCCTTCTGTGTCCCACCACGCTCACATCCTCCACATCCATCCCTTCTGTTTCACCATGCTCACGTCCTCTACATCCATCCCTTCTGTGTCCCACCATGCTCACATCCTCCACGTCCATCCCTTCTGTGTCCCACCACGCTCACG